TAATTCTGCATTACTTATTACTACCTGTGGAGAATGAAAACTGCTCCAAGTGTGCTCTTCAAATGAACAAATGTGAACTGGGATTTTTACTCTTTTTCAGCAGACATGCTAAAAGAGTTTAGTGATTCAGAAGTACACTCTGCAAAGTCAGAAATTGGGTAGCCCTGGATTTTGAAGCACAGTCCTTGGGAACAGATGGCTTAATATATGACAATAAATCTCATATCAGAACTACACCGTTGTATTTCAGATAAACATATTTTTATGTTAGAAGCTGTGAACAACACTTTCTCCTGTAACACATATAAGTAAGAACATTAAATTCTGAGAAATCTTTTTTTGTCTGTAGACCTAAGGAAGAATTGTTGTATTTTTAAAATATACTAATTGGAAAGAGTTTTCCCCCATGGACCAGAAGACCATATTTTAACAAACTGACTATATGTGTTACCTCATTAACAATAGAAACCCAATCTCTACAATGGTCATTACTGACCACTCTTCTGAATAATAGCAATAGCAATAGAGCTACATTTCTATATCACTTTATACTGAACTCATCAGTCTACAATGTGTAACCCAACTGACCCCAACAAGCTGGGTACTCATTTTAGTAACCTCAGAAGGTGTAGTTTTAAGTTAACATTCTAGGGGGTGGGATATATTCATTTTGTCCACTTCCCATAGGTAGATTCTCATTGATATCAAAAGAAAGGGAACCGTGAACATTTCCAGCTCTTGCTGGTTTTCCCACAGCTCCCCCACCAGTTGGCTTCTCCACAGTCCAAGTTTTACAGTTCATTTTGTGATATGTAGACATTTCTAGATGCAGACTGGGAAAAATACTTCTGACAGGATTGGGGACAAATGATACAAAATGACAAACAGGTCAGGGGTTCAGTGCCTTTTCTTACCCACTGCTAACAGGCCTAATTGGCAGAATAGAGGTAAACCCTAAAGAGATTATCACATGGTTCTTTAAAACCACTATTAAAGCAGCACTTTTAGCAATATTTATCACATGACATCATTTCCATTTCACCACTGCTTTGTTATGAGGTCTTCTTAGAGCTTCTCTTTTCATTGACATAGGGCCTTTACAGACTGCCAGAAATAGTGCAAATTGAGTCCACTTTAACTGCCCTGATTCAGTTCTAGGGAATCATGGGAACTGTAGTTTATTGTGGCACCAAAGCTCTCTGATAGAGAAGGCTCAATGTCTCAGAAAAAAAAAATACAATTCCCATGATTCCCTAGCACTGAGCCAGGACAGTTAAAGTGGACTCAATTTGCACTATTTCTAGCAGTCTGCAAAGGCCGTTAGAAAACCTGTCAATAAGCTTGCATTTTCACTGCTGCCCCATGCATCCTCAGGTGTGAAACATTGGTCCAAAACACACTTCAGAAATAATACATTTTGAGACCATTTTAACTGCCTTGGCTCAGTGCTAGGGAATCCTGCAAATTGCAGTTTATTGTGGCATCAGAGCTCCCTGACAGAGAAGGATAGATATCTCATAAAACTAAAGTTCCCAGAATTCCCTAGCATTGGATCACGGTAGTTAAAGCGGTCTCAAAATGGATTATTTCTGCAGTGTGTTTTGGACCTATAATTCACCAGATGTTGTTTAATTATAACTACTATCAGCCTTTGACAGCATAGCCAATACTAAAGGATGTTGGGAATTGTAGTCCAACAATATCTTGAAGGAAGATAGTTATCCATCCCTGATACAAAGCAATGAGAATGAACAAGGCAAACTGCTAACTCTCTATGGACTCTCATTTTACAATATATAATGATAGAAAAGTGAAATGTTTAAAAATTTATACTTCTTCAACATTCAAAAAGTAAGAAAAATAAAGCCTGTGGTTCCCTGTTTTATACAACAGAAGCACATGAGGAGCTGTGAACTATCAAGCAAATAGCCCTGAAGAAAATGTTTTAATACTTCTGCTATTGTACTGCATTTTGTACCGGCATGAAGGAAGCCACCTGGCTAACAAAACATACTCAAGCCCAGGAGGAATAAATCTTGATAGATAATAAAGAGATGTCTCTGGGAGGCTTGTTATATAAACTCTGGAATTAGAGTGGTATTCAAAATTGCTTTTCCATGACTTGCTAAATCATTATGAGTGGGACATAGCAGAGTGAAAATAAACTCTGACTTCTTAGAGCTAAATACAGTGAAAATTCTTATCATAACCTTTTCTCAGCTAAAGGTGTCAGTAGCCTCAATTATTGTAACACACCTCTGTGCTGCATTGTATGCACTGACAACTTACATGAGTCAGCACTGGTGCAAAGCCAGAGAGACTCAGGAAAATGCTGCCAAATGAACAACAAAATTATGCCCCATATCAGCTTCTTTGGTTCAAAAAGGAACGTCTTAGAATAATATTTTAGCCTGCATTAATAAAACCATAGTTTTCAAGACAAAGGAGTTAATAGTCCCACTATATTTTGCACTAGTCAGGCCTCATCTGAAAGTTCTGCATTCAGTTCCTGCCATCAAGTTAGAATAGTGTTGGTGAACCTATGGTGTGTGTGCCAGATGTGGCACTCAGGGCCTCTCTGTGGGCATATGCGCCATTGTCCCTGCACAGAATTTAATAGTTTGTTACTAGAAAGTTAGAGGGATGCAGCACTTTGTGATAAATAAGTGGGTTTAGGGTTGCAGTTTGGGCACTTGATCTCAAAAAGGTTCTCCATCACTGTGTTAGAAAAAGGATACAGACAAACTGGAGCAATTAAGGGATGTGCAACAAGGATGATAGGACATACAGAAAACAAAACATATGAGGAAATGTTGAGTGAGTTGGGCATGATCAGCTTGGTGAAGAGAAGACTGAGGGGTAGCATGACTGCACTCTATAGTTATATAAAGGGCTGCCCCAGACAAGAGGTTACAGGTTGGTTCTCTGCTGCTCAAGATGGCAGGAGCAGGTCCAATAGTTTTAAATTACAGAAAGGTAGATTTCAATTGAACATTAGAAGCAATGTCTTAACAGTAAGAACTGTTCAACAATGGAATCAATTATATATGGAGATGATGGGTCTCTTTTTCTGGACATCTTCACAAAGAAATTAGTCAACTATATGATAGAAATGCTCTGGCTGGATTTTCAGAATTGAGAAGGGGGCTGGATTCAGAGATTTATGGGTGCCCTTCCAACTCTATGTTTCTATGATTCTGTAGAGGAAAAAATATCTTCACTATACTGTTGAGTTTTACAGATTTATCTGCCATTGTTAATAACAAGGCAGAGCAAAATATGAAAGGAGATTTTGTCAGGATGGATTGCATCCAGACGGAAAACATCCTAGATGCTGCAATATAGAACAAAGGTGAAAGGTGACCTGAGTTCAACAGGAAGCCATGATGAGTAGGCATATTGAAGTGTGCTGAGTCACAGGAAGATGATGATGCAAAGGCAGGGCATAAGGTCATGAAGCTTAAATACTGCACAGTCATGGCACATGCGAGACAGGAAACTTTGTAATATACCAGTTGGGGGTTGGAGTAAAATCTCTGCTAGAGATTGTGTATATAAGGGAGGAGTTCCAATGCTCCATGTGTGTGGTGTATAGTGGATCACAGAGGAGCATTATGTCAGTTAGTGTAAGTACCTGTAAATATTGCAATGAAGTTTTAAAGCCTCTTAAAGAGAACTTGGCAGTTGTCACGTCTGCAGCTTCTGTGTGGGAGAAGGACTTCTCCAACTTGCACAAACATGTGCCAACAGTTTTTTGGGACTGATAGCAGAAATGCACACTTGTATTTCATAACTTCCATCATTCCAGTCTTCATATTTAAATGAAGGTGAAAGGAAAGAGTAGGAAATATACTCCAAAGCAAAAATAATAATAAAAAAGGAAATAAACAAAAAACTTTGGAGAAGCCTCCATGCTCCAGCAAAGAAAAAGTAATGAACTAATACAGCACATCAAAATTCAGCAGTTTGCTGGAAGGACATAGCTTGATTGTTTTAAACTGGTAGCAATAGCTAATGTTGGTTTTGTCCATCAAAAGAGCAGGTTTCTGGTCTTACATGAAAAAAGACTTCCATTTCTATATTGCCTTCCCAGCTTCTTTGTAGTGCTTGATAAGCTGCATGGCACCGCAGGGACTCTGTGTGCCAAACCTCTCTCAGGTTGTTTGGGTGATACTTTATATCCTGCATAGCACTAAATTTTGTGCCTGCTCTATTTCTCAATTATTTTTGTTAGCCATCTGAGAGTCCCTTCAAATGTTCTCCACAAGATTAACAGCCACAGAGATGCATGTGAACAACAAACTTCTCTTCTATTTATTGCATTATAACATACTGCTGTCTTCTCATCTTCCCTCTCAAAAATCAATCGTCACCCACTATGACACACAGGCGCTCCCTTTTCGAAAACCAATTATTTAGTCTTTCATGATAGTCCTTGGGGTTCAGCATTCTCCTTGTCCATAGTTGCTTATATAATGACAGGATTGCCGATGAAAACAGTACATGCCAACTGTCTCTGCCACATAATCCAATATGGAACTACCATATAAGCAAACAACAGGAACACAGTCAATTGCTGCAATTTCCAGAGGACCAGCCATTGCTGCTGGTTCTGTGTGATTGAGCTAGTTTTTAGAGACAAATCCTTAAAGCTCTTTATGTTGTTTTGGAATAAAGTGTGAGTTTAGACTCTAAATCCTAAAGTATTCTTGTTAATGATATGAAAAGGACAGAAATAAGTATATTAATATATTGGACAGGTATCCAGTGCCAAAATTAAATGTCAGACTTAAGTGAATGTATGTTAAGCTATGGCACACAACTTTTGTCAGTGAGTTGGTGCTGGTAATAAAGCAGAGGCTATAGAATGAACATCTTTCTAAAAGTGGCAACTGTCCATATAATATTTGATTGCAACAGACGATACAGTAGCAGGAGACTACTGAGTTTCTAAGTGTTTATAATTTATTGTTTACATTTCCATATCATATATTTTGGGAGCCAGTGTGGTGTAGTGGTTTGAGATTTGGACCATGACTCTGAAGACCAGGGTTCAAATCCTTACTTTGCCAGGCAAAACCATTGGGTGGCCTTGGGCAAGTCATACTCTCTCAGTCCCAGAGAGAATTAAAGGAAATGCCCTCTGAACAAATCTTGCCAAGAAAACTCCACTGAGGTTTGCCTCAGAATTGCATAAGTTGGAAACAACCTGACAGTACACAACAACAATAATGTGTTTTGATTTTAAAAATTGTTTTTAAAATTAAAATTTTCACATACACACACACACACGATACTCACAAAGGTCCAAATTCAATTGTTGGTCCCAGGGTACAACCACTAAGTCAATGTAACCTCAATAAGTTCCTAGATTTCATTTATTCGTTGAGTCTACTCTAGTTTGGAACAACATGGATGCCAAAATGAACACTGATATTTATGCTGATACAAGTGTTGAATGCTTGACTATCACCTATAAAGCCTCATATAGCTTGAGGTCAAATTATTTGAAAGACTGTACTTTCTTTGAAGAGCCTGGCTTTGTTTTAATATCTTTGGGGGAACACTTCCTTTATCCCAACACCATTACAGGTACTTTTGGTGGGAACTCTCCTGGTGACTATGCCCAGGCTATGGGCCAAGGCCCTAAAGAGGGTCAGTTAATCACCTCTCTTTTTGCTGTCATGCAGATACCATTTTAGACAGTTTTTTGAATTTTAACTGGTTATGGAAAAAAGATCTGTGCTTTTATCTTCACTGTTCTCCTTTTATCTTCACTGTGTTTTAAAAATACTTTCAAATATTTTTAATCAATGTTTCAATAAGATTCTTTGTTTCATTTTTTAAGCTTTTGCATTATATATTGTTTCATTGTATTATATTCAAATCTAGCCTTAGATCCCACATTGAGAGAAAAGTGGGATGTAAATAAAATTCCAGTATTCCTACAGTTCTAAAATAGTTGACATTAAACTGGTATCCAAAATGACACCAGAGTCAACAATAGATGACTTCCCTGTAAAGAAGAATCTACAACCTTGGTGTCACAACATAAAAGAATCTTTCCTATTCAAAACAGAAGATTATGGAGGCTTAAGAAGCCTCCTTGAACTAACATCTTGGCACTCAAGTAGGTGTACATGGCCAAAGTGACAGAAAGCTTCCCTTTCACAAAGAAATTGGCCATATGAGCTCAATGATCTGCTGTACACTATACCAGAGGCATAACAAGTGGGCAGAGGGAGTGCAGAATGCACCAGGTGACACACTAAGTGGGAGTGACACCACTGCTCCCCAAACATCTTTCCTTTGGCAGAAATGGGCTATGGGCATTTGCCTACATTCCTTTAAAATACTGGAGCTCAGTGGAAGAAATGAGGTGAGTAGAATAGGGCTCATGGGAGGTGAGAGAAGCTATTGCCATTACATTCAGTGATATGTGGGAATTATAATTTATGAGTGACATTAGTACAAAAACATTACTAAGGATTCTGTATGGAGTGGTATGGTAGAGGTCAATGGGGGGGAGTAGGGTGACACTGAGTTGACACCAACCCTAATGATGCCACTGCACTGTTGCACCCTGATTCTTTTGTTTCTTTTGTTTTGTTTTTAGCAAACCCAAGAAAAGCTTATATTTTCAATAGATTATAGGTGTAAAACAGCCTCCAAACTATTTCCAACAATGCTGGAATTGCTTGGCTTAATGATTGACCCAGAGTTACTGCATCTCAGCTTCCTGCCTGTCTTTGAGGCTGCAACAGAAACACTAAATGACTACTACTGTAAGGGGAGCCATTTAATTCATTCAGTGGGGAAGGTAAGACAGGAAGTATGAAAGTCTAGAGATAGGAAAATCTGTCAGTTTCACTTTCTCATTCATCCCACTCAATATTTTTCAATCCTGAACATGAAGAAAAATGCATATTGTGTCAAATTATGAAATGCAATACTTCCAGTATGTTTTGCCCAAACTCATTAGATGTGGTCCAGAGTGCATCATGTTATATCTGTGTAAAGAAGAAAAGACTATTTATTTTTTATTGAAATGAGAAAAAACATTTCTTGAGTATTCAGGAATTCTGCAGAGAAGAATCATGAACTGAATGGAATCTTCAAAGTATCCAGTTGCCCCTCCATGTTTATGGACTTGAAGTCCACTTCCCTCACCAATTTGTGGGCAGCAACAGAGGGGGACACAATGGGATGTGTGTCCACAGCACACATCCCCATTCAAGCCTATGGGGCTTGAATATTTGCAGTTTTCCATTTTGCAGGGGGGTCCAGAACATTTTCATCCACAGGAGGGTCTGGAACATATCCCATTTTCCTAGTCCAAAACTTATCTTAAGCAAAATTCACACATTTTAAACATAAATAAACAGCAAAAAACAGCACAAAATGCTGTTTCCTTAAAAGAGTTTGGCATTGTAAGGACGTATTTTGGCATGTAAACTGGAAGATTCATTTCCATTGTCTCATTATAGGTTTTTCTGGGTAAAAGACAGATCTTATGGGTGCCTCTTTATAAAATGCCACTGTCACTTGAGAATACTGCACTATATTGGAGCTTATCACTTGCTATATTAAGCCAGCTTACCTCTTCTGGGTTCAATCCTGGATCCAGGATACCCCCAGATGTTATCAGACATAAATCACTGCCGATTTAGCCACAATCACACCAGCCAAATCCATCCTGGGTTGAAGCCTTGCCTCGCTGGCCAATTTTTGAAGTTGGAAGCTCCCCGACTTCAAAAAGTGCCAGTAAGTGAGGTTTTGACCCGGGATGGATTCAGCCAGCAGCATCGCAGCTAAATCAGTGGCAATTTATGTCTGATAACATCCCGGGGTGTCCCAGATCCAGGATTGAAGCTGGAAGAGGTAAGCTGGCTTAATTTGGTGAACGATAAGCTTGATGGTTATAGTGCTATTATTCCACTTTTACTGCTATGGCT